TTTTTGGACCTCATATGTGGTGATGTGGTCCAGCCGCATGAAACAATTTTCCATATATATATATATATAAAACCAAAATATTAATGCTTACAAATACAATTATCATAATGATATTCTATGAGTGCATATACTATGTTTCTGCAAAAGTAAAATTGACATTTACTTCCTTAAGCAAATGACCTGCTTAAAGAGAATTCCTTGATCTGATATTGTGTGATCCATTTTACTATCACCAGGCGAGTAAATTAGGGAAAAAAGGGAAATTGAGTACCTAAACACCTAGTTTTGTCTGTTAAAAAAGTGGACAGTCTGTGTGCAATCGTAGGGTATAATATTAATTCCTTTTTTCATGCAATTCCAGGATGCATATTGAAGTTCTCTTTCTAGGGTCAGTTACCAGGTTGAAGTTTGCACTAAGGTTCTTGAAAACTAGAACCTGACGTTTTATTGTTAGAAGCTGGTCATATTTTATATGATGCGGTATAATGAATCATATTACAAAGGGGAAAAAAAGAAGCTGTGGAAAATGTGGAAATTCCGGAAAATGTAACTTTCTAAGTAGAACAACTAGAGATGGATTCCACCATTCAAAATCTAACTGCATTGTATTTTTTCATATTAAACAACTCTTAACAGGTTGCTTTGTTATTTTTCATCTAAATGGAGTTGGAATATATCCCCCTATTGTGTCTTGTGCATAGCAGCATAGCAAACTCCATTTTTTTTGTGCTAGATGTCTTTTTCTAACAAAACGAGCATTAGTAAGCCTTTCTCATATCTTGCACCTTACTATCCTTTCTTATTTTTATAAATGTTACTGTGGCTTAGGTTGTTAAATTCTGACGTAGATAGGGATGGATATATCTGATCTTTTTGGCAGTGTCCTCCATTTCGATTGGGATACCTGGGACTTGGGGAACCGTTGTGTTTTATCCCATTTGCCCCTCTTGCCACCACTGCATTTTATTTGTCTCAAAGCAATAAAAGGTAATTATGGATCATATGATAAGCTCTTGTAGGCCCCTATTTGATTTACAGTGTCTCTCATTATGATTTTAAACGATTGGCTTTTCAGTGTTACAGTCCTTCTTCCATTAAATGGCACAGTTCTATCAGCAGCTATCCTTGTTGGCATTTCAACCTCTCTGATTCTATTTTGCAGCCATTTTCATCAGGTCTCTTTCTCTCTCTCTCTCTCTCTCTCTCCATCCTGTTCTTCAAAGGCAAATAATATAAGTGTATGACCTTAACTATATCAGATTGAAGGAGTTCTGGCTGTGGGTAAAATGTCTCCCCTGGTAATATCCAAACCTGAACATTACTACTAATTGAACATAGCCATATTGTTGTGGAAGTAATGAAAAGCTTTGTGTTCAGGTCCGAATTGGAACTGAGAAGGGATCGAAGGTGGTGAAGTTCAGCATTTTGACACTTTATTCCTTTCTATTTGTTTTGGGTGCATTGAGGTCTCTTCCTTTAAAATGTGTCGTAAGTCTCTGATAACTTATGAAATATCTCTTTTAAATCCCTCAAATTTGTCATAGGATTTTAGGAAACAACATGTTGCTTTAAGATCGTGCATTGTGTAAGTATCATTATTGATATGTGTAGTTCTTGCACTAATTCTTTTATTATTTGCTAGATTTATTTGTTATTTTCTTTTGGTGTTCTGTCATTGGTACCATATGCTGATTGTCCCATACTACTAAGTGATTTTAGGTCCTCTGCACATTAACCCTCCCGATTGGAAAGCTAGTTGTTGACTACGTTCAAGATAACCATAACGTAAGCGTCCTTGCCCACCCTTTTACTTGCTCCTATGTGTTATTGCCTCTCACAACTGTGGATTCTCATCTCTTAAAGGTTTAGACGAAGATTTTTATGGCCAAGTATTACTGTGTGCGCCTTCATGCTTTATTTGGAATTGCTCTGGCTATTGGACTAGCCATGGCTAGAAGGATGGCTCATTTTTTAATGAAGGTACAAGAAGCTCTTTTGTGTTTACGGTTTTTACTTGGTTTTCACCTTTTCTTTTGGAGTTCTTTAGGAGGACCTAGGCTTTTGGATCACCTGTTTTGCGCTCTAATGGGGTTTGTTATAATGCCTATAGAGATGCAAATGGGCCATGACAGAGAAGGAAAAGCTCGAAGAAAAGGAGAAGCAGTGTGAATGTAAAGAAAAGTAAAAGCAGTGTGAATGTATACTATCTGATGGTTAATGTTTTGGTCTTTCGTCAGCATGCATTTAAAAGGGAAAAAAAGAAGCAGCCGCCACGCATCTCTGGATCATTTTAGGGCAATAAAAAAGACAATCAAGGTAAAGAGTGTAGAATGAGAGGAAGTCCCTTATTAACTCTCTAAGGTCCGTCTTGACTCCTTTTGGGTAGATCAGTGTGGATTACTGCCCCCCTACGCTACCCATTTATGGAAAGAGTCAATTGTTTGGTAGTGTTAGTGACAACGGAGGACTTAACTATCAACTGAACTGGTACTACCACCAGGACCCCAGCCCCATCGTAGCTGTCCGTCTTTACTCCAGAATCCCTAAGTTACGAACTTTTATTGTTTAAAAAAATTACATAGAGCTCAAACAATAATGTGGTCATTTCCAACAACTATTTCAGGCAAAGATACCCCATGCTTAGTCAAACCATCCGCAATATAATTCGCTTTCCAGTAGACATGATTAAATTAGATCAAAAGATCATGACATATATCAACAATTTCAGTCCATAGAGAATAAAATTTCCAATGAGGCTACGCCACTTTGTTCCTCAAATTTTTGATATTTTGCAAATCGTCTTCCACCACAAATGCAACCCTTCGAAATTTTGTTTTGCTACATCTCAGCCCTTGCAATATATTTCAGAATTATGTTTCATTTGAGGTTGCAATCCCACAAGGCCTTGCACAAGAAAGAAAGAAGAACCAATCCTCTCCCATCTCTTAGCACCCTTCCAAAACTTGCGAGCTCTGGATTTCTAAAAGAAATACCATCGAAGTTAAAAACTTCAAACAACCCTTTTGTGGCGGGCACCACCTTTCCTTTGGTCTCAACTTCCATGATTTATTTAAAACCATATTTTTTAGATTCATTGAAACGTCAACCTTATAAATACCCCTTCCTTCTTTTGAAACTGAGAACCAATTCCAAACTCCAAATAGAATAACCTCCTTTATCTTTGATACACTACAAAAGCCTTATTGTTTCTTTCCCTCCATACTTCCCACAAAATAGCTGCTTGAGAAATAACCGGCCACCTATAAGTAAACCTAATCCCTCTTGGCCGTTGTTTCTTCACAATCCTCCAGGTTTGTAGCACTAGTGTTTTCAGAACTAAATTGGACATGCAACTGATTATAGGCCAGTCCAAACTAATCAAAGCAATGAGAAGGAAAATTGTTTCATGTGGGCTGGACCGCATTACATATGCGGTTCAGAAAGTGTAAAGCATCCATTTTAAAGATGGATGCAAGTGGTTGTTCTTTCTAAAAACAATGAAAACTAACAGTACAAATGTTTTCTTACTAAAAGTATTTTAATTTTTAATTTTTAATTTTTAATTTTTAATTTTTAATTTTTATTTTTTCATATTCATGATCTCATGTTAGAGATTACATGTTCTTAAAATTATGCCTTAAAATCCATTTCAAAAATAGATTTCTACCTATGCAAGCTTGGCCGCATAAAAACCGGGACCATGAGAAATTACTCCATTCACATCACAAACCAGTTTTAGCCAATCCTTTTGACTGAAATATGAAATTTTGTGATTGGCCTGTGTGAATTGTATTGCTCCTCCCTTATTTTCCTCCTATAGTGGTTCCTACCTTTGCATAAAATAAAACAAAAAAGAAGCTAGAAGAGGTGCATAAAAGAGGCAAGATATAAGGGCATAAAAGAGACTAGAACAAGAAAACATATGCAGTTAAGATAATAGCATAGCACACATTGCATACCAAAGTCTATTAACTTAAGGATCAAAGTTACAGCAAAGAGGGGGAAGGAGAACCAGAAAGAAGCACACCAAAGAAAATCAATGAAACTAGGCTGAGAGGCTCTAGAAGCGCTCTGCCGTTACAACTAGCTTAAGCATCCTTATATAGACACAGGACTTGAAATCCGGATTTGAAAAAAAAATAAAACAAGACAGCTGGCCTAGATAGGTGGCCTTTTGGAACAGCAAAATGGTGATGTACAGTGGACAGGTGTCCGACATGAACAGTGAAAAGCTGGTGTACAGTGTTTTCCAACAAAAAAGTGTTGAACAGTGCGGTCGACAGAATAGTACTTGAACAATGCTTTCGACATAATAGTGCTTGATTAGTGTTGCCGACAGAATAGCACTTGAACAGTGCTTCTTTAATCTGTGTCATAATTGAGGGGATATTTGTTTGAATCATAGCTTGGGGAAGAAGGATTGGACGCGGCCAGTACAATTTCCAAAGTCATTGTAAGGCTAAGAGGACGCGTTTTTGAGTGGTACATAAGCCTTGGAGAATATAGGCAAATACAGTTGAGAAATAGTCAGTCCATTGTTGAATTTTTGAATTAATTGGTTTCCGAATTCTCAGGCCCGATTAAGCATGAATAGATTGCTGCCAGAGAAGAATTTTTCCAACTCAAATGTTGTTCGTTCAAGAGACAAGATCTTGAAAAGCATTTTTCAGTAATGAACAAAAGATACCATAAAATAGAAGGAATCGATGACATCAATCTAAAACAATTTTATCTTAAATCTATACCTCCTATTCTTGGTAAAGAAGCAACAAAGACAATGGAAAACCAAGGACTTACTATTCAAAATACCACTTTTGGTGAATTATATCAGTTTGTTTTCCATGCAATAGAAAAGCTCTACAATCAAGTTGAATTTGTGAAACAAATGGAAAAAATAAACATTTATTGGGAAAATCTTGTGATAAACCCTATCTCAAGATTAAATGTGATGCAGAAAAACAGTGTTCATGTCCACCAACTTTGAAAGGAAGGAAGAAGGTTGAACAAAAGCGAAAAAAGAAGAAATTCAAAAGATTCAAATATCTCAGAAGGTCAAGATTCAGAAGAAATAAACAGAAGGGAGATAGATGCTATATTTGTGGAGAAAAAAGACATTTTGCAAAAGATTGCCCAAATCAGAAAAAGAAGAAAAAGATAATACATTTTTTATCGCAGGTTCTAGAGGAAGAAATTGATGATGATTTAGAATCTGTGTTCTCTCTTGAGGATGAGCAAAGTTCTGACACTTTGCTATCAATATGTTATTCTGATGATTTTGAGCTCAATGAAATAATCAACACCCTTGTTCCAGAGATATTGTCTCCAGAAAATGAAATTACAGACATCAACAGTTTACTATTTCAGCCTACCCCAATAGCCCTTGTTCAAATACTTCAAGAACATTATTCCAAGCCTTTGACCATTCCTGCCTTTTTTGATACAGGAGCATCAGCTAGTATTTTAAAACCTGATTTACTACCAAAACAGTTTTGGGAAACATGTAATCAAACCTTTAGAGCTGCTAATGGAGAAAAATTTACCATAACCCAAATTAGCAAACCTGGTTAGATAAAACTGTTTCCAAAACTAGTTATCCAACATAAACTCTTAGTATCCTATTTACCCAATAAGGAACTTTTACTTAGGATTCAATGTTTTGCATCAAGTAAAACTTCAGTGGACTTCTAAAGGACTACATTATAGGAACCTAACCTTACCCTGGATAGCTGCCGTAGACCAACCTTGCACCATAGAAACAGTCAAACAAAAAATAATATCAGACTGTTGCGCCACTTCCCATTATGAGTTTCTTAAAAAGTGCACAAACCCATTATGGAGAAATCATAATTTCTATGTCAAACTGTCTTTCAAGAAAAATGAAGATATAAACCCCACAAAGGCTTCTTATAGAGGTTTAAACCCAGATCTGATGGAACAAGCTAAGCTAGAAATACAAGACCTGATAAAGGAACAGTTAATTGAGCCTACCAGTTCTCCTTGGGCTAGTGAAGCATTTTATGTAAATAAAAGAGCTGAACAGATTCGAGGAAAACTTAGGTTAGTGATCAATTACTAACCTTTAAATGCTTTTCTTGCTGATGATAAATTTCCATTGCCTAATCAAACAACACTATTTTCTCAGATTTCTCATGCCCATATCTTTTCCAAATTTGATTTGAAATCAGGATTTTGGCAAATAGGAATCCACTCAGATGATTGTCCTAAAACAGCTTTCTATTTACCAAATTATCATTTTAGATGGACGGTTATGCTATTTAGTTTGAAAAATGCACCCACATACTTTTAAAAAGTTTTAACTACCATTTTCGAACCAATCTCAACACATGCATTGATATATATAGATGACATCCTCTTATTCTCTCCAGATCTTGACAGCCATGTTCTCTTGTTAGATAAATTCCACTCCCTTTGTTGTAAATATGGTATTATGCTTTCAGAAAAATATGGTATTATGCTTTCAGAAAAAAAATGTCTTTGCTACTGCGGAAGTAGATTTCCTCGGCATGCATTTTCATAATTGCATGTACAAACTCCAGCCTCATATAGCCAAACACCTTTTAGAATTTCCGGATACTTTATCCTCTGAAAAGCAAATACAACAATTTTTAGGAATTGTAAATTACATGTCCCCGTTTATTCCTAAACTTCCTTTATTTACTAGTCCTCTTTACCTTTTGTTAAAGAAAAAAGCACCACCGTGGATAAAGAAACAAACTGAGTCTGTTCTGGAGCTCAAAAAATTTTCTCAAAACCTTCATTCTTTAAAAATCCCTTCCACAGGAAAAAGAACTTGGCAAACAGATGCTTCAGATGAATTTTGGGCGTGTATCTTGCTTGAAAAACAAGACAATATCAGAATGATTTGTAGATACAAGAGTGGAAAGTTCAAAGGCTCTGAACTTAATTACCTTTCAACATTCAAAGAAATCCTTGCAGTAAAAATAGGAATTGAAAAATTCCAATTTCATTTAATAAGACATACTTTCTTTGTTGAAATGGACTTATCTACTTTTCTGAGTATGCTAAAATTCAAAAATAAGATTTTACCAAATCCCCAATTACTTAGATGGTCGAACTGGTTTTCTCAATTGAATTTTGAGTATAAGCATATTTCTGGAAAAAACAATGTTTTAGCACATATGTTTTCAAGAAGAAAATTTATTG